ATATATATAAACATATATACAGACGCATGCACACATACACATACACATGTATACACACGCACACAAACACACACACACACACACATAAACACACATACCCACACACATATATAAACAGACATGCACACATATATACAGACGCGTACACGCACACACACACACATATACACACGCGCACACATACACACACACACACAAACACACATACGCACACGCATACACACACACATAATAAAAATATATATATATGTGTGTGCGTGTGTATACACACACACACACACACACACACACACACACACACACACACACACACACATATATATATATATATATATATATATATATATATATATATATATATATGCACACACGCAGACACATACGTACACACACACATACACACACACACACACACGGACGCACACACACACACATGATACCCAGAAGTGTTAGGGCGGGGTCCTATATGCAAATGTACTTTTTAATGGGTTTGAATTCGTGCAGAAATAATGGTTTTCATATGTTCTTGCTCTGGCCATCCGACACTAAAAATATAATCTTTAAATAAGATAAAAAATTTGTTTAGTGTGAAGAAGAAATAATAGAACTGAGAGCGATACTTTCAAGACACGATGGCGTTTCTGTGGCCAGTGAAATCTGATAGGTCTGGCCGGTTTGACTTATATTTACTAATATCTATAATCATACGAACGACTTATTGTTTTTTTATATAAAATGTGTTTTTTTTTTTGTTTTATTGTATGCAGTGTTGTTAAGATTTGTTGTCTTCACCTGTTTAAAAGGCGATTATTTTTTCATTAAAGTAGCATAAACAATATGTAATTAGTTATACTCAGTTTTGTTCATATGTTCAGTCGTTACTTCTGGTCCCAACTACTTTACAATCAAACCTCTTACAATGTAGAAAAGGTATGACTGGGAATGAATATCTTCACAATACAAGAGATGTATTTGACCGGTATCAATTATATCTTCGTCAGAAATACATTTCTGACGAAGATGTAATCGAAACCGGTCAAATACATCTCTTATATTGTGAAGATATTCATTCTTATTCATACCTTTTCTACATTTGTCACATGAATCCCAAATTTATTTAATTCAGGAAGTGTCATGCTTCAGAAACTCAAACTTTTCTCTACTTTATAGGATCTGTCATCATCATCAAGCAGTGAGGACATAACACTCTGTAAGGAACCAGACTCACTACCAAGTCTCCCTCCTGTGCGTCTACTGCCAGGGTTAAGGGGCCACAAAGTAGACATGACAGAAGGCGTCAGTAACTCTGTGGACGACAACTGTCTTGTCCATCACACTGACACCAACACGACCTCGACTGAATCGTCAGATCTACAGAATCCAAGTCTGACTCAGTTTTCACTGGACGAAGATGGGAGGATTCATCCCTATGTTAGTTTTGACCAGTATTACCAAGCTATTGAAGAGGCGCGGATAGCTGGGCTCATATCGGAATCTCAGTTGTATCAATATAAGTAGAGCTAAAAGTGAAATACAGCATATTTTAAAATGCAAAGAAATGTATAGACTTTATTAGTTTGTTTGTTTTTTATAGATATTTTTATTGGCAAATGAAGGATAAATTTAATCTTTAGTAGAAAGATTCATTAATATTCTAGTAAAGTATATGTATGAATTAAGAGAATTTGTTTTAGTTTTAGAAGCCAAGTAAATGATGAGCATTTGAATAATCCATGTTGATCTATAAAACAAATTATATTTTATACATGTTTGTGAAAATGGCAATATATTTTCCATGCATTTTAATTGGCAGCTGTTTTATGTTTTTTTTAAATGAATATTATTTTTTTCAATACAAATTTAATATATATCGAAATTAAAATTAGATTTTTTTCACGTGTACGTTCTTTGTTAGTTTGATTGTTACAAAGATGAATGGAGTTGAAATTTACTTGGAGAATTTTATTCATCCTTATCCAGTCAATGTGCAACAGTTTGTAATACTGTACTGATTTTCCTCCATAAACTCAGCACTTTTCTGCCATTTCATAACAATCAGAGGTTCTCTACACATCAGTCAGGTAATTTTGTGTATGTATGTATTATTTGATGCAAAGAATCTGGTTTTAGAGCATACTATCTGCTGTGTATCTATCTTATCATGTTTTTATCATGTTTTTGTCTATCCTCCAAATCTGACGGTGTTTGTTACTTTGGTATGTGGTAAAACAATTAAATATTTTTTATATCTAGAATTTCTGAGGCTCTGAATCTTTAACTACTAAGATTGCATTGCTGTCTTATATTTTTCCTAGTGTATATAAGTACATATATATATTATGTGTTATACATATATGTATGTTTGTTTATATATACATATATTATATACATATATATTTCGTAGTGTATATAATTACATATATTATATATATGTATATATTTCCTAGTGTATATAATTACATATATTATATACATATATATTTCCTAGTGTATATAATTACATATATATATTATGTGTATATATATGTAGGTATGTATATATACATATATGCATATATGGGTGCTTCATGCTCAGGGTGATGTGAAGCGATGATGTGGTAGCTTAGATAGTGTTAAGTGCCTTGCATGCCTTGCAGCTGCCATGGCTGGCTAACCTGGTGCGAAAAGGGAGCAGCTATGCATAAGTCTCCCCTGACAGCTCATACCCCCTCCATCATCAATATATCTGCAGTGCCTCCTCGTGGCCACCCATGGAAACTAGGTGCCTTGCGGTCCTAGGCAGAGCTCTGAAGGGTCTTGGAGCAGCAGGAGGCCTTAAAGGTACGAAGTCATGGCCCACCGGCGTGTGGACACGCCCTGGCTTTGTACTAATTCCTGCCCCAGAGTTACCTGCTGTCCCATCTGCGTCCCGGCGCCTGCCAACCTGGCGTGAGATCTGTGGGACAAAGCCACTGGGACCCCCGCAGTTGGATTATGGGATCTGCAGCCAGGCAAACTTCTCTATATGGGACGGCGTCGGTAGGGGTGGCAGAGTGGCTGCCCGAGGTTAGACCTCAAGCGGGCTGTCAGTGTGGGGGCTTGGAAGGGCATGAATAGTGTGGGTGGCTACACTTATTACAGGTCGGGCTACGGCGATGGCCACCATCTCCAGAGAGTGGCCATAGCCATCTCCAGTAGACTTCAACCCTCGGTAGTAGAGGTCACTCCAGTCGATGAGAGATTATAATATTGAGACTGAAGCTTACATGTCTATTATTGCTGTGTATGCTCCTACAGATATATGTAAACTTGAGGTGAAAAAGATGTTTTACTCCAAACTTATATCTGTGACAGACATCTGTCCTCGGCGAGACATTCGCATTGTTCTGGGTGACTTCAATGTCGGTCCTCATGGCTCAGGAGCTGATGCTGACAGCGAGAATAGCCTCCTTTTCCGTGACTTTGCTATGTCCCATACATTGAGAATTTCTGGCTCCTGGTATCAGCGTTCTGACCAACTTGGTACAGCAATATGGGTAATGTGGCCAAGGAGATCGACCACATCCTCATTAGCATTCGATGAAGGATCTTCCAGAATTGCAGGATGTATCGGAGCGCCGAGTTTTGTGAAACTCCAATTAACACCTTAGGGCGCTTCACGTGGACAATTTGAGGGAGGGTGAGTGTGCCTGGGGGTTTGCCGAGGCTATCTTTGGTCGTTTCATAGCACTCAAGGGCCTGATGGACCCTGTTCTTCTGTGGGACACCCTCAAGCGTGAAATGCTTGATACAGCCCAAGAATCAATTGGTGAGTAAAATAGAATTCCATCTTGCAGAAGAAACTACAGATGCTTGTCATGTGGCTTAATCATCAGGGGATCGCAACTTTCTCTGGTGCACAGGACTAGGTCACTGTTGAGATGGGATAAGGAACAGTTTATCAGGAATCTTGCAGAGGAGGTCGAAAGCCATTTCCTAGTAAATGACCTTCATCCTGCCTACCAAGCCCTGAGAAAGCTGAACTCCAAGCCCTCCTCTCAGACGGCTGCAGTCCGCTCAGCAAGTGGCCAGATAATCTCAGATCCTGATGGGGTGTGGGTGCGATGGGCTGAGTATTTTGAGCAGTTGTATCAGGCTGACCCACCAACAATTAACTTGGACGCGGATAATGTTGAGATTCCTCTGCCAGATCCATCAGCAAAGAGCTCCTCTCCCTGACTGAAGTCAGGAGGGTAATTTCCAAGCTGAATTGTTAGAGGCTGGGATTTAGGGTTATCGCCCACGGACTCAATCTCCTCAAGCCAATCCCATTCCTCGACAAACTGGAAGGAGATCATCGAGTCCTCGACCTCCAAGGCGGGTACTCCTCAACGCGCGTTTGTAAAAACCGTATTTGTATGTATTCCTATCTACTGGTTTAGGTGTTTTTTGTTGTTGTTTTTGCATTGGTTATGAATTTCGCTCTTGAAGTATTGTTCACATCGAAAATGCTACAAGAAATTACTATGGTTATATCGCTTTTGCCATTTATAAATATGATTACTGATATCACGATTGTGATTTTTTCGTCTGTGTTATCGTAGTTGCTAAAACCATTATCCATTATCTTGGTATTGGCAACACCCATTACCATCATTAGTTATGTTGTGTAATAGAAGTCTTCGATGAAGGAAATTGCTCTACTCGTATCATTATAAAGTCAAAATCTATATTGAGGTCGTTGGATTATTAATAGTTTATTATCACCAACCACCTTTTTATTAACGAAAATAATACCACTGCTACTCGTCCTTAAACTTATTTTTCTTGATTACTGAGTATTTTATTGTATCATAAAAACTTTCATTCAAATGTTTAATTTTATTAGTGACTTGTCCATTGTCCTTTTTCATGTTAAAATATTGAAATTATATAATACCTATTCAGTGATACTCTCAAATTTTCAATTTCTTTATAATGTTAACAGATAAGTTTATTATCATACTGTGCAAAACGGGATCATGACAATAGATATAAAATAATCATTAAAAATACCTGTTTAATCTGGCTTGGATATTCATACTTACAATTGACATTTAAGAGTTGTCACTCCTGTATGGCAGGCTTTGAATTTAAATAATAAATTTAAATAATATATATATTTTACCATCCGATGACCAGTTGATATAAAAAAAACACTATGGGTTCGTAGCCCTTTTTCCCTTATCGTTCGTATCTTGTATTACAAGCATGTGTCTTTATCGCTTTATCGCAACGTCGTGATAATCATTTTTTCTCATATATTTGTCCATTTTTAATCTGGCATTATCTATTAATATTTAAGTCATGTGACATTTTTCTCCTTTTCACTCTTTATGGTCCCCCTTTATTTGTGTATCCCAATCACATTTATGTTCGCTTGGAAGACGTGTAGAATTCTTAGCAAAGAAATACATTAAAAAGATATATAAATAACCTCCTTGGCGGAGGTAATAAAATAAACAGACAAGGCCATTTTATCAAAGCATCGGAGATAGCAGGCTACGAGTCAGATATATATTTCCACAATGCAATCCTTCAAGACTTGACGGAACACTTATGAAAATGTGCACTTGGAAAATGAACGCTTCTATCCACTGCTGATTCCACGGTAATAGACTTTACCTTTCTACACTAGCTTCGTATTCCTAACTCAAGAACCGACCTCGATACTACGTCGTTTTCTCATGATAACCTGAATAATGAGTCAAGGCTAAGTGAAACGTCAAGGTTAAGCTTTGATAGGGCCAGGCCGGGCGACGGAGAGACACAGGGCACTGCTGGGGGTGGGGGGGTGGGGGTGTCCATAGTATCTTCTCCCAGATGATATCATGCCTATGGTTGCCAATGGTTAGGATTCATCATCTTCCTCTAGGTTGGGTTTCGGCCGGTGGGTTAGAGCCGTGATGACCATAATAACAAAGCCAACCAGCATGGAACTAGAATAGAAGGCTAGTGTTGCCCAGTAGTTCCCCGAGGCCTCGCGAATGGACCCTGGGATAATAACAAACAAAACAGTAACGTTGTGACAAATGAATCAATATCTACATAAATACATAAAATGCAGATCAAACACCGAGGAAATTATATCACACCTATATCTAGGTGTGATTGCTTCATCCAATACTAAGAGTGAACCAGCATATAGCATCTAAATCAGCATCCACAACTACACGTTACATGACGATGGTCTTAGAGTGATTCACAATATCATACGTGAGAAAGAGTGATTCACATTATCAATATCATACATGAGTAAGAGTGACTCACATCATCGATACCTACATAAGTCAGAGTGATTTACAATTTTGAATAAACGCAGGAATAACCATCCACTCACCTCCCACAGGACCTATGAAAATAAAGGCCACAGAGCGAAGAAGCTGACTCATTCCAAGGACCGACTGCAGCTTCTCCACCCCGAGGAGCCGCACCATGAGGAGGACGTCGAGTAAATACAGGCAGCCGAGGCCCATCCCGAAGGCTCCGGCACTAGCCATTACGACCAGCCACTCGTCTGTCCGCGCCAATAACACTGTCAAAGTAATTAGGAAAAAAAGTAATAAAAAGAGTAGCTAATTGCAAAAAAGTAATTAAAAGAGTCGCTAATTGAAAAAAAAGAGTCGCTAATTGGAAAAGTCAGTCATTAGGAAAGAGTCGGCAATTAGAAATGTCAGCAATTATAAAATTCGGTAATTAGGAAGAGCCGGTGATTAGAAAGAGTCGGTGATTAGGAAAAAATCAGAAATTAGAAAAGTCGGTAATTAAAAGTGTCATTGATTAAAAAAAAGAGTTAGCAATTTGAAAAAAGAGCGTTACTTCAAATGTGGTGGCTTTGTGAGAGAAAAAAAATATATCGTTATTATCTATTTTACAAAACTCATATACGTGCGGGTTTAGTTATACATCGGTTGAGTAGACTGCGTACATTAACATTTAAACACTTAAAAACATATCACAATATTGCATAGCTTATTATATGGAATCATAAACAAAAATATACATGGACAAGATAACATAAAAGAAAAAAAGTTTATATATGTATATGTATATGTATACGTACATGTATGTGTGTGTGTGTGTGTGTGTGTGTGTGTGTGTTCGACATGCATAGTATATATGAGATACAGAAACGCCAAACATCCAAGTAAGAAGCCAATATATCTGCCTATCTGTTCACCTATTTCTCGATCTGTTTATTAGCGTACAGTGTGTCCACATGTGTCCACATCCGGCATTTACGGGGAAGCGGACTTGTGGCCTTCTGACCCGGAACTGCAATGCTAGATAAGGACATAGAGAGGAGAGGAAGAGGGGGGAGGGGAGGGGAGGGGAGGTAAAGGAGCTGTTAGTACACCCAACGGCCCTTCTGACAGTAAATGTTTATGCCCCCCGTCAGAATGTACCTACTGACGTTGTTTGGCAGCCAGATAATGTGCCACGGACACTACAGCCGTAGTGTTAAAACGGTAGATTTTATTTTTACTTCCTAAAATGTGCATACAAAGAGAACACCAATTCGTTTCTGAAGTAGTTATACTGGAGACGCACGCATGCACGCACACTGTTAAGACGTGATGATTTTAGAGGCATGTGTTCGATTTACTAAGGCTCTCGACTGTACAAGCACACCCGCATGACACATACAGAGACATCAAACAGCGAAGTGCCGAGCCAAGCCTGACCGTAGGGCGTGACCACGTAGACGAGCTGCGCGAAGCCGAACACCGCCCTGGGCCTGAAGTGCGGGAGGTCGGTGATGGCGGCGCCGGCCAGTCGGGTCACGAGGTCGATGATCGCCGCCGAGGACATGACCGTCGCCGACTCCTGCAGCGAGTAGCCGGCCTCGTCCAACACGAAGGGAATCGTGCTCTGCGGCAGGGAGGGAGCTTCAGGGAAAGGCCCTTGGTCAGCATGGCAAAACGTACCGTGGGTGATATGTACGTATGTATGTTTACATGCATGCATGCATGCATGTATGTGAGTGTGTGTGTATATATATGTATGTATATGTATATATACACATATAAACACACTTACATATGTATATGTATATATATATATATATATATATATATATATATATATATATATATATATATATATAAATATATATATATATATATATATATATATATATATATATATATATATATATATATATATATATATATACATATATATACATATATACATATATATATATATATATATATATATATATATATATATATATATATATATATATATATATATATACACATATACATATACATATACATATACATATATATATATATATATATATATATATATATATATATATATATATATATATATATATATATATATATATATATATAATTGTGTGTAGATAGACTGATATATAGATTAATAGATATACAGATAGACAGACTGATATATGGATAAAGTTACTTATAATGTTAGGAGAAAATGCAAACTATAAAAAATAAAATTTGATAAAAAACGTCTTCTCGAAGACATAACTCTTGAGTCACTTACAAAAACATTTAGCGCAGCGACCATGGTGATGCAATTCACTACTGCCACAGAAATGACTAAAGGATCCTTCAGAACCGAAGGCTTGTAGTGGTTCTTGAAATGCTGCCACACTCCTGCCGAGCCCTCTGTGTTCTGCAAGTACACACCTCGGACACTTACGACAAAAGAACCTTTTCGCTAGCCATTTGTTGTATTTACGCATACACAATGGAATCTAGTTAATTCTATATATACTACATAATTAACGAAGAAATATGGGTACGGCATCAGAATAAAGAATATATACAAGAAATAACAATCACTATTTGAAGACGCATCGGCCTAGGAGCAGAATTACTGAAACTGTTTACTACTGCAAAATAGAACATTTACAAAGGGAATGAGCTTACCTCAAGCGAATCCCTCGAAGGTGCGCGTTCAGACAACGTGTGGACGCTCGCCATCAGGGAACTCCCCCCGAAAGTCAAGGAAGGAAACTTGCCCCTCTCCCTCTCAGTCGGCGGGTCCAGGCGGGCGCACTCACTGTAGGCACGGGCTCTTTTCGGGTGAGAGACGCGGTTGTCCTGTAGCATGAGGCCCGAGGGAACGGAGGACCCTCGCGGCAACTCGTCGCCTTTGGAGTTCTTCGTCCTTGGTTCGAGGAGCAGCTTCTCCATGTGAGGTGGCACTTCGGGATCACTGTTTTCCTCCTTCAAGTGCCACTCCACCGGCTGGAACAAGAGAGATCCCACGGCAGCATGTAGCGTCACTGCGCCTGGTGGATAGGGGCTGTCCTAGGTCAAATATTCACACATAAACGCACAACCATGTAAACAAATGTTCTTGCTCATAATATATACAATGTTTTCAGGTTATCAGAGACAACATACACACAGCATGTCCAGGTTATTAGGCCCAACATGTATACAGTATATTCAGGTTTTTAGACAAAACATACACACAGTATATTCAGGTTATCAGACACGACATATATACGTGCAGTATATCCATCATATACACAATCATACTAACACACGTGTAAATAAACACAAGTATGATTTTATAATTACGAAGAACTACACCTGATAATGAATTTACTTTATAGGACCTTCAAAATGAGCCCTCCTATACCCACCTGTTATTAGGGTTGCCCAAGTGAACGGGTAGTATTCCTGGAGACGGGATGCGAGTTGAGGCAAAAGAATAATCCCCACTGAGCCTCCCGTCATCATAATGCTGTTGGCGATTCCTAAACGTTTCTTGAAGTACTTCGCTATCATGTGAAAGCAACAG